GTACTAATATTTCACACTAATCTTATTTTGACTGTATTTTTGAGATAAAATAAATGCAAGACAGACCTAAAATGACATCTGTTATCATTGGTTCTGTAGAAGTGATGCATCAGTTATTTTTAACAAGAAAGCAGTAGTTCAAAATGATGAATCAACAATAATTTTTTTTTAAGGAAGTAAATAAACGTCCAGGACCAATTCTTCTTCTTCAAAAAAAAAAAAAAGTGGATGGTCACTGCTGAGCTATATTACAAAATCAAATAAATGAACATGATAATTAATAATTGAAATAATGACTCATGAGGTGCCGTAGAGAATGGCAGAGATGTTTCTCATGCTCCATAGGCTTGTAAAGGGTATTAATAGCAGCAGGAAGTGTGTCACTATAATTAATTAATTAGGATGTGTGTCTGTAAGCTCACCTGTCCAGACTGGCAGTAATTGTATCCCATCTCCCTGGATATTATCCAGTTAGCGTGATCCTCAATCGTGGCCATGTCAGGGAACTTAACTGGTGAGCTGAAGTGGTCAAACTCCAGCTCTAGACATGGGGTTTCCTAGAGCAAAAATAAATAAATACATAAATGGAAAATACAGCCAAACACTAGTAACTAAACACTTTACTAAGAACTAATACAGTTTTAGCATCTATGCCATTACACTCCTGAATTCTGTATTAAGACCATTAGACTAAGATTTTCCTAAAAATAACCAATTAAAAAATAACCAATTAAAATAAACACAACGCTGATTAAACAGATTTAGACCATACGCTCTTAATTAACCATGTCACCTCAGATTAGACAACACAGAGGAATTGTATTAGAGCTTATTAAAGTGGTTTAGTGCTCAAAGAGGTTATGCAAAAGAGGACACCTTATTAGGGTTAGAGCCCGTGACCCCAATGGGGTTGAGGAGGTCTTCTAGGCCGTGTGGTACTGGCCACAGGTTCAGTGCCATCTTTCCTGAGACCAGTGTGTGGGTGTAGTCAAACAGGTTGACATTTCCCCAGGCCAGTGGACAGTGCTCCTGTAGAAGATCATTTAAATGTTCATTTATGAAGCAAGCACTATTAAAACACTGTAAATAATAGGGCTGGGTTTTAATTTCACGATTCGATTCGATTCTCATTCACAAGTTTGCGATTCGATTCTATTCAATATCGATTATTTTGGATATATATCAGGTACAAGGAAAAAAAATCTCTCAACTAATGCTGTAAAATATACATGAGAGTCAGTTGGTACTACATTACTATAATATTGAAGGTTAAAACTGACTGATTTGTTAAAATTACACTTAATGAAGTTTTTAAAATAATAAAGTTACAATTACATAATAATATTTCTACTTCAATTAGTTTTTTTTTAAAATATAAACATAATGGTGGCTGTCATAAAAACTTGATGGATTTATTCAAACATAAATTAAACATTGAAGAACAGTAAAATTTATAATGAATATGCTATATGGTGCATATATTTAGCAAAATGCCCCTCTCTACAGTTATTTTTCTATCTGACTAATGAGTTTATGGTCACCAAAAGTTTTTTTCTGAGGTAAATGTGACGTTACGTGACTGTTTAAAAGCCACTTCAACGTTCCGTCCACTAACTGAAAACAGACTAGACTAATCGATTCTTGGGATTTAAGAATCGATATCGTTCCGTAAAAATGAGAATCGATTAATATCGAGATATCGATATTTTTTACCCAGCCCTAGTAAATAACCATTCTAAACTGCATTCTCACAAGGGTGAGGTAGGAGTAGTCTTAAATACAGTGTTATTTTAGTGTAATTTATATACTATTAATATTCTGACTTGGCTTTTATTTTTAGATTTCATTTTTTATATATATATATATATATTTTTTTTTTTTCAGTAGTTATTTTGTTATGGGCTTTTTGTCATTTCTATTCAGCTTTAACTTATTTTTTATATATACTTTTAAGTTTTAATTGTAGTCATTTTATTATTTAACAATTTCTTCTCTTCCATGTCAGTCTTCAACACCCATTCAATGCTTGTGCATTCGTTTACTTGCAAACAAGCCGCAGCGCATCCGGGTTCTACGTAAGAACGCCGGCTCCTGCGTCAGCAGCACCACATGTATGTGTCATGATACTCTAAAATAGACTGAAAATTCAGCTGACAGTTATTTTACATTGTACTAATATTTCACACTAATATTATTTTGACTGTATTTTGATCAAATAAATGCAAGACAGACCTAAAATGACCTCTGTTATCATTGGTTCTGTAGAAGTGATGCATCAGTTATTTTTAACAAGAAAGCAGTAGTTCAAAATGATGAATCGGAGATGAATCAACAATAATTTTTTTAAGAAAGTAAATAAACATCCAGGACCAATACTTATAAAAAAAAAAAAAGAAAAAAAAAGTGGATGGTCACTGCTGAGCTATATTACAAAATCAAATAAATGAACATGATAATTAATAATTGAAATAATGACTCATGAGGTGCCGTAGAGAATGGCAGAGATGTTTCTCATGCTCCACAGGCTTGTAAAGGGTATTAATAGCAGCAGGAAGTGTGTCACTATAATTAATTAATTAATTTTGTCATTTCTATTTAGCTTTAACTTATTTTTTATATATACTTTTTAGTTTTAATTGTAGAAAAACTCACGTAAAAGCGCGTCAAAGACTGACACGGCAGAGAAGAAATTGTTGAAATGAGGTTTGGCAACCGACCCAGCATAATGCAACTCCGTACATACTGAAAGAACGAGAAAGAGACAAGCAGAGAGAGATTTTGTTCATAAAGCCACATAATCAGCACATCTCATGGACCATTAAGTCATCCAAAATGTCCAGAGCTACTTTTAGTGTCCTAAACTCTAATTCTGGCAGTACTTTTTGTTGGGATGATACAAAACGTCAAATGCAGCCGGATACTGAGACTACTCATTTGCATTCTGTGTACTGGCAGGTTTTGAGATAATGAAAGTCTGAAACAAACACATGACCAGTGCCAAAACCCTGAAAAATCTGAGACGACTAGACATTTCAGATGGCTAATTAATCAGTGCCCAAACCATAAATATGTACTGGATAAAAGCAGCATGAGAACTAAAAAAAAAGTAACACAGAAACTTCATTCATTCACAGAATAACAGATGGTTATTCAAGAACACGTATGCAATTGTGCAAGTTTGAGGTACTTTAGTGAGGCCAAAACTGCCTAAATACCTTGTACTGACTGATGGGGTACTTTTCCAACAGATACTCGTCACAGCCACAGACTTTCAGGATGTATTTGCCCTGATATTCTTGCACGCACATCTTTAGCTGCTCGGCTGACAGCAGCATGCTCCTTGTCTTCTTCCTGATGGCTTCGGCGATCACCTGCTCAGGTACGCAGTCGTGATTGATCTTAAGTGTGTACTTTTGCTTGTCGTTGTTGGGAGAGACAATCACCCAGATAACCACAATGATTTGACCTAGCACACAAATAGGAAGATTGGAGCGTTAACAGGAACAGCATTATTGAATTGATACCTTCAGGCATCAAGCATGTGAGAACAAACAATTAATCCCACATGGCAACTGAGTGTGTAAAAAAGAAAGGCTGAATGTTGAATACATCCCAATGAAGTTGTCAGGGAATTAATGTAATGGAGTTGTTGTTCATACATTCCTCCAAGCTAAGAGGAAACAGAGGGCAAAAGCAAAAACAAGCATCACATGCTTCATGACTACTACTACAACACAAGCCCATTCACATAAGAAAGAAAACAGAATTGCTGCAATACAAAACCTCCAGGAAAGACTCGACACTTTGAAGATTACTATTGGCTACAACCCATAAAGAAACATTCCATGTCATTTTCAACCCCAGAATCAATGTGCAGCATTTGTGACATGCTGTCGATTACCACAGCCAATAGTGTCGACTGGTCCTTCAGTGTGTATTAACAAAAGCACAATCAAAGCCTAGCAGGCAGTTGGGCAGCACAATTAATGAATGTACATGCAACATGCAAAAATATCACACTGTCTCGAAAGTACCTCTTCAATAATGTGCTAGCATAAGACTAGCATGGTAAATCACAATTTATATCAAATATAAAATTATTGATTATATTTCAAATATTTTAATTAATCTATATTTTCCTCAATTTCCTTTAATATTTTTTAAAAATGATATTTAATTATTTTATTTTAATGCATTTTAATTCACTATAAAATAAAGATAAAAATTATTTACGAAGACATTTTAAACCACGGGAATTAGGGACTTCCTTTTATATATCTGAGGAATGATGCAAAAGAAATTGCTAAATCGATATATTGATTTTTTTAATATATTGGTTCAAAATAAGTGAAGTTTAGATGAGTTTTGATGCTCACATACAAGTCATGACACAAACACGACACAATACTGGTCTAAAAAAACTAACTAAGCACTAAAAACACTGATTAATGTATACATTTCGTATTGTATATAAATATAATAACAGGAAGGGACCTAGAATCATAATGCACTGTTCTGCAGTTCTGCAATCTCTGCCCACAGAAATCACACTGGTAATGCATAAGCAGAAGTGCCTAGAAAAGTTCTCACTTCGAATGAACTAAGAACGTCATAGCTCAAGAAAGACTTTTTTTATCTATTGAAGAAAATTTTAATTTACATGGTCAAGCATCACTCAATATTCTGTAACTGACAACATGCCACAACTTGAAATAACCCACAACATTCCTATAAAAGTACAAGCCTACCTTTGTCTAATTTGCCATATATATGCTTTGGAAGCTCTGGTGAAGACTCCACGTTAGGAGGATAAACGTATAGCGCTCGACTGTGTGGCCCACTGGCATCTCGCATCTCTACTGAGTCTTTGCAGACATTAAGAATATTTCTCCTAAAATCCTGCACCTCAGGATCCTTCACTAAATCAAACTCGCACACCGGCATGCCGATGGCAAAACCTGAAACACACACACACACACACACAAAAAAAAAACACCATCTTAGAACAGCATCAGAAGAGAAGAGAGAAAAACCTTCTGAATCAAATGCACTATTATTTACAGTTTAGGGTCAGTAAAAATACAGTATTACAAATACAGTAAAACTGTAATATTGTGAATAGCATTACAATTTAAAACAACTAATAACTGTTTTTTTATATTAAAAAGTAATTTATTTCAGCATCATTACTTCAGTCTTCAGTGTCACATGATCCTTCAGAAATCGACTGTGTGGCCCACTGGCATCTCGCATCTCTACTGAGTCTTTGCAGACATTAAGAATATTTCTCCTAAAATCCTGCACCTCAGGATCCTTCACTAAATCAAACTCGCACACCGGCATGCCGATGGCAAAACCTGAAACACACACACACACACACACAAAAAAAAAACACCATCTTAGAACAGCATCAGAAGAGAAGAGAGAAAAACCTTCTGAATCAAATGCACTATTATTTAAAGTTTAGGGTCAGTAAAAATACAGTATTACAAATACAGTAAAACTGTAATATTGTGAATAGCATTACAATTTAAAACAACTAATAACTGTTTTTTTATATTAAAAAGTAATTTATTTCAGCATCATTACTTCAGTCTTCAGTGTCACATGATCCTTCAGAAATCATTCTAATATGCTGATTTGCTGCTCAAAAAACATTTCTTCTTACTATCAATTTTGCAAACAGCTGTGCTGCTTAATATTTTTGTGGAAATCATGATACATTTTTGTATTGTTTGATGAAAGGACAGTTCAAAAGAACAGCATTAATTTTAAATGTGCAATATTATAATTGTCTTTACTGTCATTTTGATCAATTTAATAAAAATGTTGCCAACTGTAAACTTTTCAATGGTAGTGCACATTTTTCAGAAATAGGGATTTAGGGAAATTTGTAAAAATCTGTCATCATTACTGATTTTAAATTCATGTGAAATGCTTTGAAGTTGTTTCAAGTGATGCATATATGCATATAGTAAATAAAGGAAAAACCTGCCCATGTGTGGTCTTACCGATTTCTCTGTTGAGGATTTTTTCCTCTCTGTTCCCTACAGGTTCTATGACCTTTAGGAAGGGCTGGAATAGCCGAAGGTCGCAAAGTCTTCTCGTCTCATCGTAGAACTCCTCACGCTCTGCCTCTTGCGTTACACTGACGAAAATATAGGAGGTCTCCTCCTGCAGCAGGTGGTGGAGGGGGTACTTCCTAGCCTCCTTAAACAGTTCATGTTTGATTGTGATGAGAGTGGCCTCCCGGAGGCACTCTAGTGTCAGGATCATGCCATTGGGCAGTAGACAGTCCACCAGAATCCTGGGGGGCATCAAATGGATGCCCCATAGTTCTCCCGAGGAGGGTCTTGGAGGCATGATGTAAAGTCCTCACAATCTTCAATAGGAAAAAAAAATCTCCAACCTCTGTTTCTCCTGAAGGGGAACAGGACAAATAAAGTATGTTTTGGCAACATGTCTGACATCGTGCACTGTTTTTAATAAACTCCACAGATAAGACAAAATGTTCAGCATTGCAAACTACACCTCAGATAAACAAGTCAGCATGTCCAACAAACAAATTAGGTCTTGAGAGACAAAGTCAGTAACAAACAGGAACACAGATCGCAAACAAGCAAAATAAACTTGAATGTAACAATGGTGATGCTACTCATTAACCTGTGTTATACTCTACCAGTTTGGGGTCTGTAAGATGTTTCCACAAACATATTAAGCAGCACAACTGTTTTCAACATTGAAAATAAATTTGAGCAGAATGATTTCTGAAGGATCATGTGAAACTGAAGACTGGAGTAATGATGCTTAAAATTCAGCTTCGTATCACAGGAATACATTACATTTCAAAATATATTACAACAAAAAAACTGTTTTAAACTGTAATAATATTTTTACAATATTACTGTTTTCACTGTATTTATTTATTTTTTTTTTTTTCAAAAAACATTTACAAATATCTTACCAACCCCAAACTTTTGAATGGTACCTAGAACACACACACACACACACACTAGTACTAAACCATGAAGACAACGGAGTCATTTAATGCGGTCACATCACTTACATCAGTCTTAATAAAAAAAACATGCTTACAGGAAGTTCAGTACAACCCAACATCACTGAGCAATGACAGAAATTTATCACTCTGTGAGAGAGGAGCGATATTTCCACACAACATAGAGCCAAAAACATTTGGCACTTCATACTGAAGTGGATGACTTGTTTTTCCTTACAAACATGTGCCAACAAAAAGACACCCTTATGCATCTCCTGGGTGTAAGGCTGCTGAAAGCGATTCACTCGTCTGACAAACAGCATCTTTCACCATGTTAATGTGTGATCTGAAATTATTGGATTTTAAAACTAGGCCATGTGAGATGAACACGTCAGATCTTTTGTCCTGACTATGCTCCTATGCAGTTCTTCCAGTTTATTCATGTAAAACACCATGCAAATGTTTATTACGGAGCTTTGTGAATCTTGGTACTGCCATGGTTGTAACCACTTCATGCTTTCACACTTTTTAGTGCTTATTTTTTATCTCTTCACAGTAGGGATATGCCGGTATCAAATTTTCATGTTGCGATTAATTGCTAATGCTTTTATTACAGTATACGGTATTATCACGATATTGAAGTTAAGTTAAAAAAAAAAAAGTGCTGTCATACAGTATAACATGTTTAATAACTTTTTTCTTATAACAAAAATAACTGAACATTTAAATGCAATAAAGCAATACAGAAAAATGTATAAAGTTAAAAGTTTTACACAGATTAAAGTGCAAAAGAACTATAAAGACCAATAGGTATCACTTTACAATAAGACCTCATTAGTTAACCTTAGTTAATGCATTAACACTCACAATGAGCAATAGCTACATTTGCGACAGAAGTTATTAATCTTTGTTTAAAAAAACACAAGTCTTAGTTCATGTTAGCTCATTAAACAACACAGCTGCAACTCTCAATTTTAACATCCTGTTATTAAATATTGGAATACCTAAGATTAATGAAAGTTCAGAAGAATTTTTCATTGGCAGTTTATGTTAACTAATGAATTAACTAATGTTAACTAATGAAGCCCTAATGTAAAGTGTGACCGAACAATAAAGAATCAAAACACTTTCAAACAATATCTAGGGCATGTTGTAGTCCAGATTAAAATGTAAAAAAAAGTTTGAAAATAAATAGCCTATTAAGTCTAAATATTTAAGTATTTGGCACTGTGATGAACATCATAGCAAATACACAAATCTGAATGACTGCTTAAATCATTTAAACACGATTCAGAAACAGAAAGTAGTGCAGCTGCTTTGTTTACAGGGTTTCCGGGGTAACGGCTGCATTTAAATGAATTATTATTATTATTATTATTATTATTATTATTATTATTATTATTATTATTATTATTATTATTTCTGCAGTTTAGCGCCATCTGCTGTCAGAGAGTGAAAGTGCGCTTTCATCCAGAGCGTCTCTCACATGTTCCGCCATGTGCTTCTCGTCCGCGCTTGTTTACATCAGAGTGCGCACGCGTCTTTCACGCAGCATACAGCGGTGTTGTGCATTTTGACCAGTTGATGGGAAAAGTATTCTTAAAATGCATTCAAAATTCGGAATAATTTGTAATATATAATTATTCACGGTATTTAGAAGTGCCCACGATAACAACATCGTGCATATTAATTACCGTGATATATCGCATTACCGAATACCTGCACAAGTCTACTTCACAGTAAAAAAAAGGAGAATAAAAAAACAGAAGAATCAATATTTTCATAAGATGTGGTATTTTTGCTTACCTTAGTGTGATGTTAGGGCCACTTGTAAAAGTAAATGTCCATCATAGTTCAGAACTCCATCTCATCTGCTTGATTTATAACTTCTCTTCAGATCCACTGAATTATACTGTGACAACAGCAAGAAGGACAAACATTCAGTGTCTAGTGGAAAAAGTGGACCAGCTCGCTCAGTTTAGCCAAAACAACTCGACCCCTACCCATGCCAACACTACCAACCACAACAAACCTCCACAGCAGTGTTTAGAGTGACAGAGATGGGAAGATAATAAGATTAAGAGGTTTATCATTCTTGCATATGAATAGACCAAGCCACAATGACAGCGAACCACTTGCTAAAATTAACTATTTATAGATACATAAGTCAAGTTTATTACAATAACTTAATGTTATATTCAAGTTAGTTTAAACCACTAGTCAAAACAAACACACCTGAATCATGACAGAGCAGAAACATGCACTATAATATGACTACAAACCGGCTTACTACTACACCGCTAAACAAGAGTTTCATAAACAAACAAACTGAAATTTATAATAAGAACTTCTTGCAGTATTTTAATTCATTAAAACACATATTATAAACGTAATATATCTTATTAAAGCAGAAACACATTTGGAAAGCTCATATACATGACATAATTAGCCAGCTAGCAATCCCAGACAAAACATACTAACTAAAAGAAAACTGCCATTTATATTTGTCAAAGAGTTTAAAAACTCCCAAATAAAAAGAAATATCAGTTGGCGTGTAACGAAGTCATTAAAGACGGTTTATTTCTTTAAACAATAAGATATTGATTCCTTTAGCCACCTAGCCGCTAGGCTAATCCGCTATAGCAAACCCGATAACTTTCAGATATAATATGCTGTAATATCTCGCCAAAGACGCTTCATTAGATTATACTCTGAAACGACACATATTTTTTAAAAGACCACCAGAGTTGTTATTCAAACAATGAATGAATAAACAAATATCTCACGTTTATGTGTATAGCTAATATGGGTATGTACCGACGAGTTGTTGTGAGGTAATCCGCTGTTGGTGTTCAGTCACTCGTTCAGGGCTGTAAATCCAGCGCGGGGCTTTGCTGGGCCTCTAGCCGCCCCGCTCTGACACGCACCGCCTCTCCATCATCACAGCAACAGCAGCAGCGGCGGCGGCGGATCGCGAGCAGTGTTTTCACACAAATCATTCATCACTGAGGGAGAAAGACGAAATACATGCTGTCCAAAACCCGATGGATTGGATAAAAATCGTCAGGAACGCTGTCACGATGGAATAAGGGAGGATCCTGTGAATAAATAAGCACCAAAGTGGCCGGATAGGTAAGTGGGAGGGTGACTGGCTGCTAAAGAGGGAGAGGGACAGGATGACAAACCCAGTGAACTCCTTTTTTCCAATCGATCATCCCACTGTGGTATAGGATAGCCATACGTTCAACAAACACGTGCTAAACAAGCGAAATAAGGTGTGAATCTTGTCAGGAACCCCTAGAAATCGTAAATATGATATTTTGTACCATCTTCGGACTGCAAATATATGCTTATAAGCTGCATATATACACGAAAATGTGTGCTTGATGCTACAGGCACACAAGAATTGCAATTGCATAAATAATAATGAATGTTGAATGTATTAAAGAATGGGAATGAATATAATTTTTTTTTAAATATTAAATTATTAATAAATTAGACTGCATACGCAATTTTCTTCATCGTTGTCTTTACAGACACACAGTTTGTTTTTATTTAATCCATACTAATTTAGATCTGGATAGTTGCATATTTAATAATAGATTTATAATTACAATAGATGGTTTGTTTATTGACAGTACTATGCTTTTATTTCTTTCCATAAGTGTAAAAATACAGAGAAATTATACTCTGTATTTTTATTATTATTATTATTATGAATGACTGACAAACTCAGTTAAAAGTCATGGTCAAGGACCTTGCCAAAACATACTTGAATAAAATTGTCACATACTTGCAAAAGTTTTCCCAATTAATTGTAAAATATGTCATCTCAATTTATTGTTGATTATTCCAATAAATATTTACTTTGTAGCTTGAACGTCGGAATTGATTTTTAAGGAGCATAAAGTAGCCTTGGAAATTAAGCCGAGACAAGTATTCTTATTCAGTACTACTCGCGGAAAGTACAACTGTATACACTACCTCAAGTAGACTACTTCACACACCGTTTGTCAAGTCACAGGCTCGCGCATCCTCTCTGCGCGTGCTGCTGAATCGTCAATCAGATTCTCACTTCGATAGGAGATGGACTGTACCAACTAGGCTGAGGGAGACGTTAATGCAAATTGCACTATATTTCCGACCACTGGAATTATGATTACGAATACGGTTTTCCAATACATGTATTATCATAATTCAAATCTCCCTCTGTCTCATTTATACAACATTTCCCACGTATTTCTAGTGTTTTTGAATCCGTATGCGATTGAAAACACCCCCCTGCTGCACGTTTGAAGCATACGACGCACGTCTAGCTGGAAGAAGTTGAGCACCAGAGAGAGCTTGGAAGGATGCAGGGAAGATGGCGATGAATGTAAAGAACAGGGATGCTTTTTATCCAAGTGCTGACTATTGCGATATCTACACCTCTCAGCCTGTAAACTATGGAGACTGCAGCCATTATTTCCCTCGGATGACAGGTAAGATAAGGCAATGTTTTCGAAATGATTTTCAGTGCATTGCGTTATAACTGATGCTCTGCATCAAATTTCCTTTGCACTGCAATGGCTTGAAATAGGAGTTTATTAGGGACCGATCTTTATTTTTAAATAATGGAAAGATTTATGAGAAGAAGGGCCTTGATGTCAGACTAACCACTGACAGTTTGAGAATGGAAATCCCTATCTGCATTGCCAAAGGACCATGGCACATCAAATGTTTTTTTCAAATTTCAAATCTCACTGAAATTCTTCAGGTACACCTTTTATATTTAATGCCACTCTGTTTCTATTATATGATGATATGTTGCTTAAGCTCTGCATGGATGATATGCGGTTGCATTAGATCAAGTAAAAAAAAATAATGCATACAAGCTTTTTAAATATATACCTTTTCACAGAGAGTGGACTAATAATACGTTTTTTTTTATTAAATGGAAAATTATGCAGAATAGAGTATGAGGCCAGTTGAGTGAGGTATCTGGTAGGTTCTGCACATGTTCATTGTCACATTTTAGTCTAGATTACATATGAAACCAATAAATATATGAAGGGACATTTAAGGTAATTGATGATTTTTGGCTAAACGTCCCAGTAAGAGTCCATAACATCACAATTTGCAGTCCTCAGAAAACACAAGGTTACTACTGTGGGTTTTATTTAAGAGGACTCCTTGGCAGTTGATTCATGTGACATCTAATTAAAAAGGCCATACGGGACATAAAAATGCTCTTTTTAAATTTATTTTACATGATAGCACTGTTTCTGCAAATCATGGATGAAGTAGACAGTGAGACACCGTACAGCTCTGATAAAAGTACTGAAATGCATCTGCCAAAACAGAAGGATGAAATGTGTAATCGTAATAAACAAAATGTGCACAGAGAGCAACCGTGCATGTAATGCATTTATTCTGCTCTCAATAATTGATGCTGTCAAAGAACAACTGTACAATGCACAAACAGCTTAGTAGTGTTTTGCAGCAGTGAGTGGTGTAAAACAACCTGGAGCATCAAGTGATAGTACTGCTTTACCTTCTCATGTGCCCTGCATACCTTGCATTATAGATGCCCATCGAGAACAATCCTCCCTAAATCTAAAAATCTTTGTTCCTTGTCCTGATGAAAGAGCAGATGTTTGATGTCGTGCTCCAACTAAACTTTGCATTGCTTCCAAAAAACAGTGGATTTAATCCGAATGGAGAGAGCAGGTATTAGTCCCTGACCTTGAATTGGGACTGTAGGTTCTACTTAGACCTATTTCTAGGCTTGTATTCTCTGATGACCAGGAGATATCAGGTTTGTTTTCAGGTCAAAAGAAGAGGAATATAAAAGGGTAGGCTACTGAATTTTTTGTAATAGTGTAAATGATTATGCAGAGACAACTACAAGTAAGACTGCAAGTTCATAAGTTATTCTTTTTTATAGCCAGACCAATTCATGACCAATGAAAAGCAACCACAGTCCAGTTTTCTAATGGAATAGTTCACCCAAAAATGAAAATGTGCTCTAAATTAACTTACTTTCAGACCATTAAAGATGAAGATTAGATTGTTTCTTCATTAATTTAGTATTATATCACTTGCCCACCAATGGATCTTCTGCAGTGAATGGGGAGTCGTCCTGTCTAAATCAGGAGAGAAATATGCACAGATCAAGCGCTGTTTATAACCCAAAACAGCTCTAAACAAATATGTGGGTGGACTTTCATGTGAGAGGACAACAGTGGATGGACTTTTTCATCGGAGGAAGCATCATTATGGATTAGGACTGGAATTTTGGCCAGAAGCTTGACATTTTAACATTAAAACATTTTACTTATGAATTTGTTTTTTACAAACACGCAGCTTTTCACTTCACAAGACTTTTATTGATGGACTGGAGTGGTGTGGATTATTGTGATGCATTTATCAGCTGATTCTGACGGCACCCATTCACTGCAGAGGATCATTTGGTGAGTTAATGAATTATAAATTGAATTATTCCAAAGCGGTTTCCTTGAAGAAACAAATATACATCATCTTCATCTATATCTTGACTGGCCAGAGAGTGAGTAAAATACCTCATAGCACAATAGAACACCTGAAATTTCTTTTTTAAATAATTGCACAGTTCTTCTGTTTGTTTAAAACGATCAGACTTTGACTTAACCAACAATTGTGACAATTTGGGGATGGGACTAACTTGACCAAACAACTGGGGATAAGGAGAGCATTTGAGACCTGATAGGAACAATTTTTATTGAAAATAAACATTTAAAATGGAAATACATTAACAGCTCCGTTTATGGATATAAACGTTGGGGTATTTAAGAATTCCAAGAAGGGCCTTCCAATGCTGCCACCGTCCAAGCAACCGGAAACAGAACCATTTGGCGCATTCTTATGTCTATTTTAGTCGGCTGAATCATTGTTGTCATGATCCCATCGGAACTAAACTGATACACTGGAAATATCACACAGCCACGAAACAGCTGACTCTCCAACCCCCCACTCGCTCAGCCTCAGATCTGCCGAAGCACCAAACATGCGCTGAGTTCAGGAGGCAGGAGTCAGGCCTAATCACATCTGCAGGAGGCTATACGGCAAAGATTCACCCTTTCACTCATATATCCGCTCTATTATTAAAATGAATCATTTGCAGTACTAATATGTGGCTTTTACATCTCTGTTTTATTTAGCAGAGGAGCTCTGTTATGTTTCACTTAAATATTTAGGAATGTAGATGTAAAAAAAACAATGTGGACAGCTCTGAAAATTTGGTTTTGAAGGAATGTGTTGGAAATGGTTTGAGTTCGTATTTAAATATCTGACTTTTTTTTTTCAGACTTTGGTATCGTGAAAACATTGAGATCTCTTCTGAAACACTAGAAGAGACATGTGAGAGTACTGGAGTCTTTTTCTCAGAAGAATCACCTAAGAAGCAGGAGACAAAAGCCTTTTGTTTTCTCTACATTTAATCTCACAGCTGTGAGAACAAATTGAGATATTAGCAAGATCTCATCCTTCATTCTTCACAGTTTCTCTGTTGGCCTCTATGGCTCCATGAAGAAACTTTTACACCCATGGAAACTTTCCACTTTCCACTTTCCGGTTCCCTTTTGGAGCCTATATTTTTAAAGGAGACCCATGTAATATAAGTCAATAAAGACAATGTGTAATATAAGTCTCAGGTGTCCCCAGAATGTGTCAGCTCAAAATACCCCACAGATAATTTATTATATCATTTTGAACATGCCTATTTTGAGTGGAAGCAGAAACATGCTGTTTTCATGCATGTCTCTCTGTGAGTACTAAACTAAACTAAACTAAACTTTAGTGTCTTATTGCGCTTAAACTGTCAAATACACACAAGTTTGTTAAAAACACACGAGTTACAAAAACAGTCGGTTATGTCTGTGAAGGTAAACAGCTGGGAAAGAAATTGCATGTTTATATCAGATCTGTGTGGCAGCAGCATAATATACAGTAAATAAATCAATAAATCACTGCTCTCTTGTCTCCTCTGAGGCTGGGACTCTAAATAGTGTTCTGTGCTCGTCAGTGCAGCCAAAGACAGAACAGTTAGCATGCTATGCTTGAACTTTCACCATTGCATCAGAACTGGTACACCGGTGTCGCTTGTGAAAACACAATGGCGGTGCCGTGGGTGAAAACTTGCAGATTAAGAGGCAATAATATTATAATAAGATCCCCTTTCTACGTCAAGAGGGGAGCAAAATCTCAGCAGCTCATTTTTTTTGCACTTGCAGAGAAAGGCTTACCAAAGAAAATTACTGGGTTGTTCTTTTTCATGTTTTCTGGGTTGGTAGATGCACCGGGGACCCGATTATTGCACTTAAACACAGAAAAAGTCAGATGATATGTCACCTTTAAGAGCCCAATGCATTTTCCTATTTAAAAACATAAGAGGCAGAGCTTTGGAACAAAAAATGCTAGAATGCATTCTGTGTGTAAGGCCCTTAAAAGTGTATTTACTCACTCTGACACCTAAATTAATTTTGCTTTCATTTGGCTTTCCAGGTCCAGATACCGTTCTAAAACCACCTCTTAGTTTGATATGTCAGCAGCCACCTCAGCCCTTCCGGGCCATGACCCCGACCCAGAACCTCGGTCCTCCACCGGTGATGATGTCGCCGGACCCCTTGCGGTTCCCACACTGCTCTCCTCTAGCCATAAAGCCGCCCCCTCACCTCCAGTTGCCGCCCAACCCACCCATCCCAGGGCCCCCCGTCCTCAGTCCCAAGCCCCCCGAAGAAGACGGTCAGGCAGTGGATGCTGACCAGGAAGCCACTCTGGAAGAGCTTTGCAAGCCTCTGTACTGTAAGCTTTGTAACGTCACTCTCAACTCTGCCCAGCAGGCTCAGGCACATTATCAGGTAATCTAAAACTCATGTTATGGTCCATGAGGTATGTAAATATGATAAGAGAATAGTGAATGATTTCACATTCTGTTTATGTCAACAAAGTGGTTTTGGACTGCACAATGCCTGATGACAACAAAATAATAGTTTGTCTTGATTGATACTGTATGTTTAGGAGATTTTACTTTTAGTTTTGGTTTCTTTCAGTTAGTTGTTTTTCTTGAGAGCCTGAGTACTGGTTTAAATCTTTGTTGCAACGAAGAAGAAAGCATGTAATCAAGTCTTGTTTTGTCTATAGGGGAAAAACCACAGTAAGAAGCTGCGCAATTTTTATGCTGGTAGCCAGCAGCCACCTCCAATTAGAATACCAGAGGTAGTAGAGCCTGTTTCCCAGCAACCCTTAGCAACTCCACCCACAGATTCTGCAAATGTGACTGCCAGCCAGGTACTTATGACTCTTATCTGGTGCATTTCTGTCCGAGCAAGTGTGGGTTTGTTTTTTTTCTACAGGCTGTCTGCAAATAGGGCTAGACGATATGTGTTTAATTATTTAAAATTTATTTGCAGTGATTTTTCTAGCAACATTGTGAATGCATGTCAATAGACTAGTTTAGCGATATTTCTTTGTCTTGCGTTATTCTTCATGTGCCACTTGTGGCATCAAACGTAATCGCAAACTATTGGAGTGTCCAACTAGCCTAAACTTCCCTAAGCACTTCCCCTCAGGGGAATCCCAGTCACCAACTAGGGAAGTTTATATGGACAGACCCTCAAGACCTCCGTTTTGACCGAGGAAGTGAATCTAATTCATATGTACACATCAGGCTGCTCCATAGACCACAATGCAACGTGATTGTGACAACATCGCAGATCATGTTTAATTTACCCCCACTCCAAACAACTCTTTGATATATATATATTTTTTAAATATTTGATACAACCCAAACACACCTGTATACATACAGAATGCTGCATTAAACAAATTCGTAAGGGAATTTTTTTTAATAATAAATCCGCTCCACAGTGAATTCCAAGTGATCATGGGCTAAGGTCGTTCCGGTTCAATCCATTGCAAGGGTTTCGCCAGTAGTGGGCACTAGTGCAACGTAAGCAATGATGTATATCCGAGTCAACGAGATGGGGGGGAAGTTAGCGAAGGAAGAAAAAAAACGACCTGGAATGCATTCATAATAACATAGGCGCAATCAATTAATTGAATTTTGGGCGCGGAACTACACTGTACCTGTTTTTGTGACCAATGGCAGATGAAGAGTTTTTGAAACTTAAGTTTTTGATTGTTCTTGTTGTTTTGTTGTAGTCACATCTTTAAAATAAACACCACAAAAATTACGTTAGAATTCGTAAATTTGATTATTTCCATGAATTTCAAACTGTCCATTTTGATGAACTGATTCAGCAATTAATTTGCATCATCTCTCAGAAAAATTTGGGATCTGTAAAATTTTTTCATGTTTTTGAAAGAAGTCTCTAATGCTCACCAAGGTTGTATTTGTTTGATTAAAATACAGTAAAACAGTGATATTGTGAAATATTATTTCAATTTAAAATAATTGTTTTCTATTTGAATATATTTTTTAAATGTAATTTATTCCTGTGATGCAAAGCTCAATTTTCAGCATCACTACTCTCATCCTTCAGAAACAATTCTAAAATGCTGATTTGGTGCTCAAGAAACATTTATTATTATCAATGTTCAAATCATTAATTTCTTTCAAAAAAAGAAAAAAGAAATGAAAAAAATCTAACTGAGCCCAAACTTTTGAATGGTTGTTTATATACACTGCTACATGTATTACATATCATCAAAAAGCTTAAAATGATCAAGATATTTTAGATATTGGTTGTTTTATCATCCAGCCCTATCTGGGAATATCTTTAAGTGCAGTTTGATCATGCAGTGTCACTCTGCAAGCATCCATTCACTGAGCTCGGTGTGATAGTAATCAGAGACGTCCCTGTAGACACACACCTTTCATCGCTCTACTCTTTCTAAAAGCTGTACTGTCATTGTCCCGTCTGCAGCCACTTTCTAAGGGCGCTAGCAGAGTCATACTGGCCACGGAAAATGACTACTGCAAGCTATGTGACGCTTCCTTCAGCTCCCCCGCTGTGGCCCAGGCACACTATCAGGGCAAGAACCACGCCAAAAGACTGCGGCTGGCCGAGGCACAGCAGAACGCCACGTCCTTGTGAGTCTGTCACACCCACGCGCTCCCAGATAAAACAGCCGTTAAAGGTGGGAAATCCTTCCGTGTTTGAGGGCGGTGTTTTTTTAATGAGACATCAGTTATGCAGTTTGCATAACTCATACACTCATATGAATTTCAGCCTCAAATCTTGACAACAAGGAAATCCACGTACACATTATGCATCAACTAGTAGGAAGTTTTGCATGGAGAAAGAAGTTTTTCCTGTTCGCTTTATCTTCAAGCAGTTTTTGCATTGATAAGTGAGGCACTCGTTTTAATGCCACTGTTGGGCTGTCCTGATAACAAACACAGGAAGATACATCCTATTGCACTCCAAACGTCTGATTGTATCTGAGAAAACATGACTATGGCTAGTTAAGCTACGTTTGAATCCCTCCCTCTGAGTAATTCAAAACAAAACAAATAAGCTTAATTATTGATAAAAATTAGACAAAAAGTACCAATATCATTGTTCTAGGTACTGCAGACTATAAGCAGTAGGGCTGGATGAAAATTTATGACATCCACAGTGATTTTGCTGGAGATATATTTATTCTTGAATATCTTAGAGATGGAAATGCTTGCTTTTTATTTGACCACTAAAAATGTTTTAGAATATTTTTATGTGAGTGTGTCATTAAATTAAAATATACCTTAATTTAGATATTTTATTATTCTTTATAATATATATTTGTCATTTGAATAATTTCTTGATCTGTTCTTGCTTTGTTACTTGCAAGCATGAGAGTGTTTTAATATTGATTTTAAATTTACATTTTAAAAAACTTAGCAAGTTTGATTCCTTTCCATAAATCAGTTCAAACTGTGCATTTGCATCATCATTTAAATGTTCACAGAAGTTTTTGTATAGCATTTTTCGATTTATTCATTTTTTAAAATTTGTAGAAAATATTTTTACAGGTAAATATTGCTATTTTCCAGCAATATTGTTATATTGCATTGTTATATTTGAATGAATGAGGCACTTATTTGTGGATATACATGTAATTTGTCCATATATTCAAATATTTTAGTAAATATTTTTTGTAGGTTTTGCAGCAGTATTCTCAAATTGTATTGTTATATTTGAGAATATACATGAAAACGATTCCTAATTCTTCTTTGTGTTCCTTAAATAAAATATTCTATAATATTGTGAAATATTATTACAAATTATAATAACTATTTTTTTTATTTATTTAATATAATACTGTGAATACTTGATTATTCTGGCTTAGATGATTTCACTTAAATATTTTGATTCATCTCAGAAACAAATGTTTATATAAGAAATTACATAATAGCAATTACATAAATATAAAGGCATATAATATCATCAAAAGGCTGAAACATATAAGACATATTTCTTAGCCATACTAAGTGGTAAATCATCTTTTCTTATCACGTGTTTTCCAGAGACTTGTCCAACACTCAGAGACGGCCACGGAAAGAAGGATACGAGTACCAATTAATGAAGAACCGTAGGGCTCATATCAATACTGCCATGCCAGGTACTCTGTCTACAGATTGATCTCAACCGATAGTTTAGGAGAGACAGATTTTTGCCATCATGTTGATCTTGTCCTGAGACTATCCCTCGGGTTCTGTTTTCTGCCCAGTGGTCCAGGCTGTGGTGCAAAACCTCCATTTTTGATCAGTTATTTGGCAGCAGAGCGCTTGGCAGCTGCACGTGTTAGTTTGCCAGCCTGTGCTAATGTAGCTCAATGTGCTAGTCTCACTAAATGCAGGCCAGACGCCAAGGCTTTGATCTATGTAAGCCGATACTCCACCCCACGTCAGCCCGGGCTCACGAACGTCACCCACACGATGGCAGATCTCAGTCACACACATGCCCCCATTGCACCGCGCTCCTGTCCTCACATACGCACAAAAACACACGCTATTGCATTCTATAAGTGAAGCCGTTAGCTTTGCATGTGATATTATTTTATCAACTGGAAAAATAACTAAATTAATGCTTTTTCAAAATAATATGTCTGTTAGTTAAAAATGCTTTTTAGACTCTAACTTTCAAATGTGCATTTGCTAAACAAGTGTATCGCTCTACACTGAGATGCACTGATGTTTCCCTCGGGTGAGGGTCATCTGCTCTTATAATGTGCAGCAGAATATACACATGATGAGCCACAAAGTGTGTGTGCCAGAGTTGAAAAAATAAATGAGCTTAAATATATAAATTAAGTAATATACATTTCTATCGGTGGTACTTGGAGTTACATAAACTTCTTAAGACGTACTTAAATTGAAATTATAATTATAATTTGCATCTAGCTTACTTCAGTTCAGTTTAAATTCAGGAAGTGAACTGGAGTTTAAAAAGCATCTTCAGTTCAGTTCTGAATTATGCATGTATTAATTAAGTATGGTGATTTTCCAACCTAATAGGTTTTGTATGATTGAAACATGCTTGGTTTTTTTATTTATTCTTCCAAAAAGCTTGCAATCCAAATTGTCTGTACACTGATTTGCCTTAAAAAAAAAAAAAAGAAGAAGAATATGAAAATTGGGGATAAAATCATGCAGTGTGAACCTGGTATAAATGCATCTTTGCTGAATAGAAGTATTAACTTCTTCTAAAAAACAAAATAATAATAATAATGAATTTTTTTGGTGAAAATTAGCACATAAACCCCAGTCAGCGTGACTTTGCATTTCAACGTGTATTTCATCACCTTGCAATATCTGCTTAGTCATGTAGCCATTTATTTGAAGTTTCATTCATTCACACGACCTGACATGTTTCCTGTGCTGTTTCAGGCCCTTACTACAACCCACGGCCGAGGCAGCGTATCCCACGAGACCTTGCGATGTGCGTCACACCCAGCGGGCAGTTCTATTGCTCGATGTGTAACTCGGGTGCCAGTGAGGAAGCGGAGTTTCGCCTGCACCTGGAGAGCAAGCAGCATAAAAGCAGAGTGTCCGAGCAACGCTACCGTAGCGAGATGGAGAATCTGGGATACACTTAAGAAGCAGCCGAAGTGATCAGTGATTCCCAGATCCTCAAGAAATAATCTTGCAATTCTTGAAGTAGCCACTTTTGTTTTAAAACGAATGACGTTTGTAATTGTGCTATTCTAGAAGTACTTTATGAGCTAAAATTCGCACACACTGAAAAAGTTTCTTTTGTGCCAGACAGACCATTAACTGGTGGCATGGACGTTTTAGGAAACTTTATTTAAGGGATATATAAGAGATATCTAACAGAACGTTTCAAACGCTCATAAGCACAGATTTAGGATCAACTGGCAAATAATTATAATTCATAATTAACGTGAAAGTACTAAATTCTTATCCTAAATCATCTTATGAGCAAGTACACAAATATTAGAATATACTGCTCTGGATTATACTTTCAGTATAATACAAAACAATACTTTCAGTATTTATGTATATGTCTAGCATTTTATTTAATTCTAATGTCTAACATCACCTCTAACGTGCTTTGGAGAGGCAATAAGTGTAAGTATTTTTTTCTCAGCTGTTTTTGCGTGAAGTTGATGCCTCAAAAAGGGACAAATCTAGCAGCAATCAGTTTCCTAAACAAGCAGAAGTGGCAATCCTACTCACTCTGAGCCGTAGATTCACTGTGTTTCTTCAGGAGCTACAGAACGCACGCCGCCGTTCTGCCGATCAGATTAGAGACTGCATTCCCAGGAGAATCCAAAGCGTGCCTGCTGAATGTACTATGAAAGCGATGACAATAGATCTACGTCCGTCTGGCTTTGCACATGTTTACTAGAGGTAGTGGGAGATTTGGTCTATTTCGGGGTGTACATCTGATATTGTTAACCAGCATGCGAAATTATTTGGGTGATGTTGATTTTCATCTTGGATTATCCCCAGAGAATCTCTCCCCACACTAAAGGGAGAAATGGAAAACATGGCTATTTTTAATAAGGTCCGTGCCGCCCATGCCCCCTACCTCAGTCACAACCCTCTGACACGTTAACCTACCAAAGCTTATCTGAGAAAAGCTTATCTATTTTAATATTTTATCTCCAATATTTACTGAGGAAACCATGACCAGTTCATTCAGGATGAAAATTTTCTGAAATTTGACTCAATTGTAGATGAATTTGTGTTTTCATCAGAACAGATTTGGAGAAATTTAGCATGCCATCACTTGCTCACCAGTGGGTCCTCTGCAGTGAATGGGTGCCTTCAGAATGAGAGTCCAAACAGCTGATAAAAACATCACAATAATCCACAAGTAATCCACATGACTCCAGTCCATCAGTTAATGTCTTGTGAAGTGAAAAGCTGCATGCTTGTAAGAAATAAACCCATCATTAAGGAATTTTAACTTAAAACCATCGCTTCTGGCCAAAATATGAGTCCATAATAACGTTTCCTACAATGAAAAAATCCATCCCCTGTTGCCCTGTCACATCAAAATCTAATTTTACATCTGTAATGTGTTCCGTTTTTGCTTGTAAACGGTGCTTGATCTGTGCATATTTCTCAGACAAGACCACTTTTTTCATTAGAGAAAGCAATATTATGGATAGAGGCTCATATTTAGCTGTAAATTAAGTTTAAAATATTTTAATAATGGATTTGTTTGTTACAAACGCACAGCTTTTCACTTCACTAAATGTTAATCGATGGACTGGAGTGGTGTGGATTACTTGTGAATTATTGTGATGTTTGTTTGGACTCTCATTCTGACGGCACCCATTCACTCCAAAGGATCCATTAGTGAGGAAGTGATGCAATGCTACATTTCTCCAAATTTATTCAGAAGAAGAAACAAACTCATCTATATCTTACATGTCCTGAGAGTGAGTAAATTTTCAGCCAATTTCAATTTCTAGGTGAACTATTTCTTTAAGCAGTTACATTGGGACAAGTAGGAGCTGTTCAAAATTTTAGATGCTTTATGTTGTTTGTTCACGGCTGCATGATTTTACGCATAAACATCACCCTTCCCCGATTTTATCACTTAAAATGCTATAAATATTTTATATAAGACATTTACAATATTATGAACAGAAGAAGTGACCCAGTTTTACTCTGTCTGTTTGTTTTGTTGCTCTCAATAACTCCTTAAATAAGCTATAAAACCGCTCTTCAGAGTTGCAGTCCATCGTCACTAAATGTTTGGAATTGTAATTCTTTTCTGATTTAGTATTATTTCTGCATGAGATTATTGCTGCTTGTTCATATTAAGAGGTTGATTGCGCTGCAAGAAAAGGACCATTGCAGAACTGAATTGAAAAGACAGTATTGTAATAAGTCAAGTCATGCTATATATTATTACACAGGCATCTATGTTCATTCAAATCAAATGTTTACAGTGGGAATCATCACAAAGGACTTAAGGGAGCACTTGACGGACTAATGGACTCAGTGGAGCGGTAAAGTCATCTTAAATGTGCCTCTGAGCCTACTCAACTGTGATGTTGAACATTTCATGTTGTTCTGCTTTGAATATGTTTCCAGTAGGAGGGACTTACAGTCTGGCGTAACAAATAATGTTTTGCGTATTCAAATACTGACCATTTATGTCAAGCTCTTTTTATATAAATGTGGTGAGATGTTTCATATGTATATATTGATAGAAATTTTAAAAAGATGACTTTGCATTTTAAACATGTTAAATGTTAATCTAACATGTTCATAGTGCAGAATATTCCATAAAATGCACCACTGATCATCTGTTTGATGATTTGATGGTAGAAATAATTTGTGGTTTTGCCACTTGCAGTGGACAAATACAGCAGAAAGGCAAGAGGAATGATTAGAGAGAGGGAATGGGATCAGAACATGTTGCAGGCCGGACTAGAACCTGCATTATCCCGCATGAGCACTACAGCTATAAAAAAAATAACTGTGGTGGTGTTTTCTACTGGTAGCCATTGTATTTGCTCCCAGAGGTTCACCAGAGGCAAGCCATATCCTGTTTTGTGCAGTCAGGAAGTTGTGACCCTATCTGGAAACAGACCTTCCCAAAGGATGCCAGCAGGGACACTAGGATCTCCCCCCAAGGGAAAATACCAGTAGTTTACTCCCTTCAAGCCAATCACGATTTTTCCCATCAATAAATACCTCTGTTTTAATTTACACTGAGAGTCGTATTTCACAAATGTTTTCTAAAGGATTAGCAGAAGCATTTTATTTTGAGGTACATCGAAATAAAATCTAGCTGTAGTGCCTTTTGAAGACATGTTCTTGTATAATGGTTGCCTTTTCAGGTCTGAGTGCAATACAGACGATGTGATATTTATCTGACTTCTTCCTTTTTCCCCATTAAACAGTGGTTCAGTGTCTTGAATGTACAGTACAGATGAAAGAACATTTTAACTTTATTGTAAAGAGCCCTGGAACTCAAATTTTGAATGCAAAATAATGTATTAATAAATTTTATTTAAAAAAACAGGTCTTTCAATACTTGGCATACAGCATACTGGGTGTGTTTGTAATATATCCTTCCGGGATCAAGAAGTATTAATTAAATTTTTCTGTCTCTTTCTCATGGACATTTTAGTTCATTCCCTGGCTCGATATGCAACCATGAAACTGGCTTTATATTAGAGATGCACTGATTGCAATTTTCCTGGCCAATTAAGATTTCCGATTTTTTATAAGTGTGACCTGCCGATAACGATTTTTGCCGATTCTGATTTTCTTTCTAAGAACTATAATTGACGGCATATACAAATAAAACAAAAACTCTCAAAATAAAGTGCTCTGTGATTGGAAAGATGTAGAAAAATTAACTGAAAATGAGTTGCTGTAGATAAAACAGTTGTCATTTCCCACTATGTTTATAATCCCCCCCAACCTTATTACATGTGTGATTGTTCACATCAAATACTTACATTGTTTCAATTAATTCAGTTAAAATAATAAGAAACTGTAGAGTTGTTACCATTCAGATTAATTCAAACTCCATCTTTCCACTGCAGAGGAAACAGAAGCTGCATCTGAAGTGGCATTAGATGTATTTACACAGACTGAGGTGCCAAAAATTCATTTACACTGCAAAATTTCAAAGCATAAATAATTTTATAAGATTAATGTTTTAAATAATTTTTGAACATACAAATAAGAAATGTTGGGAAAATGCAATGATACTTTAAATATGAAACCAAACCACCAGTAGGTGGCGGCAAAAGACTATTTCATTGAGTGAGTCATTTAGTCATTCATTCAACTGATTCGTTCAAACGGCTGATTCATTCAGAAACGAGGCAAGTGACTCTTTATGAATGGGTTACATTGCGAATGGGAATCATTGACTCGTTTCGTTCAAAAACGTGGATTGATTCACTAAAACACTGAAACACCGCTGTGTTGCTCGGAGACACACAGCAGTTCTGCTGTGGCTTTGATTGGAACAATTTCGTTTGCAAAATTGAGCAAACAGTCAATATTGTGTCTAAAATGTAAATCACTTAATTGTAACTTCTTGTTTATTGAACTACTATTGTATAAAATCAGTGTCACATTGAAATCGTGATGATATTCGGGGAAACATATATATATGTGTGTATTTTAACATAATTCCATATAATAATAATAATAATAATAGTTTTATCATCATCCTTATTAATAATGTCATTATATTATTGGCAAGTTTTTCAATCTAAGTCATTCCAAAATTAATATTTTTATTATTATTACTCAAATATTTTTAATTCCTTTATATATTTTGTAAACATACTTTTGAAGAATTTTAAAGAATCTTACATTGATTACATTGCTAGAATGTTTAGCATTAATGCAACCGACAGCAATGATGTCACTGTAATATTTGCATAATTACAATCTGTCTCTATTATATATATATATATATATATTTGCATACTGAATTGTAATTTGCATTTTTTTCTCTTGTATCCTTTTAACCATATAGATTTTAAAAATTTAAAGACATTTAAAATGTGTGGCATTTCATTTATGCAGAAATGCACAACCCAAATCCAATCTTTTAAACTACTAGGCTATTTTATTTTACAACTACTATATTACTTACAGCTTAGTATTTAATATGCAAATCTAGTCATGACTCATGAACACAACATGGTTTCTCCCCTCGAATAATGACATTCTTACGTGCTCTGTTTGCTCACCCCATACCCTCACTCCATAAAGTCTGTGGGACTGCAGTCATGCTGAAATGAGTGGGATGCATTGTACAGGGCTAAGTCAACTGACAAACTTGTGTCCTGTGTTTTTATGGTGTGCATGGCTGAGGCCCTGCGGGATAAGTGACAGCTGGAACAGGGAACAGTAAGGCTGGGAATTCCAGTGGCATCAGCTGAGATGAACAGATGTGAAGGGCTCTGATTCTAATAAAAGTGTTTTTCTTCCTAATCACTGTTGTGTTAAAGCTGGTGTGCATCATTTTTTTTATTGTTAAAATAATTTCTATTCAAACTTAATATAAAGAGACAAATGTGTCTTGGTGACCATAAAAGACTTCTTTAAAAAAACTTTTTTTTAAAATTATATCGACCTTTTGAATGGTAGTTGTTGCTTTTAGTTCTGATTTCTTATATCAGCTGTAGGACCCTCATCCTGTCTGCTATGAGATACATGATTTCCTAACCAATAGGAAACTGTGTATATTCTCTCTCATGATCTGTTAACAGTCCACATGGAGAGGAAATAGGCCTGTGTGTGCAGTCGACGACTTGGAGCTAAAAAACACAAACAATTGTGGAGATGCTTATTGATTTCAGGAAGAAGAAAGAAGAACGCCCATCTCCTTCCTCTGTTTCACCATCAGCACACAACGAACAGAAATATCACAACAATTATGCAAAAGGTATTGCTTTGAAACGTGTCCTATAATAACAAACATATTTAATTTCTACTTTATCTAAAAATACAAATAGATCAAATCAATCTTAAATGAATGTTCCTTAACATTAACCATGTGCCTAAAAGATTAAGACTGTATTAATGATTAAAAGATGATGATGATGATGATGATGATAATAATAATAATACATAAGCCAGGGGTTGTTCATCTTTTAAAGGTGACATATCATGAAAATCTGACTTTTCCAGGTTTTAAGTGCTATAATCAGGTCCCCAGTGCATCTACCAACCAAGGAAGCGTGAAAAAGATTAACCCAGTAACTTTGTTTTGGGAAGCCTTTTTCTGCAAGTGTCTGAGAAAACCAGTTTATCAGATTTCGCTCCCTTGGTGACTTGGCAAAGGGATCTCATTATAATATTACCGCCCCTTAATCTGTAA